TTTTTAAAGTTGTTTATATCTAATTGAAATTTATTAATTCAATTGTACCTAATTAAATCATATTAAAATCTAATTCAAACCAACATTTATTTAGATTAGTTTGAATTATAAAATTTTAAAACTAATATAATCAATTTAATTTGTGATTTTATCTTTAAACTAATTAATCTATTCAATTACAAAATAATTTAATTAAATGATATAATATTTTACTTTTATTTATTTATTTTGGTAAATATATTTTTTGAATTTATTGGTAAAATAGAAATATAATTAACAAATTGTATACAATTTATATTTTGAAATTTTCTTTTCTTGTTGTACTTTTCTTAATTCTATAATATATATTTTTTAATTGTTGTACTATAATAGTAATTATACTGAAACTATCCACTTTTTATTTTATTTTTATTACCTTAAACTCTACTTGTAAAGAAGGGAAATGATTAAAAGATTTACTATATGAAATTTCTTTATGGTCAAAGCCAATGTCCCCAATCTCAATATATTATGAAACTGAGGCTACATTAACAAAAACTTATAGCCAAGTACATAATGAAAAGTCTAGACATATTGGTCTAAAACATAGTTATGTAAGTTAATTAATTGTCAATGGGGTGAACACCATAGACTATGTAAAGTTTAGTAAAAATTTAGCAGATCCTTCAACAAAAGAATTAATAAGAGAAAAAGTATATAAAACATCTATAGAGATGAGTTTCAAGTCTGTTAATAAAAGTCACACATTATGGAATCTTGACTTAATGCTTGATAAAAACTTCAAGTCTTAAGTTCAATGAGTGAAGTACATCATATGAATGTGACTGCAAATACTTAATTTATAAATAATATTATCTCAAGTGAAAGAGTACTTGGTAATGATATAAAATAAAGTTGAGTTTTACTTTTATTAAATCTTATAAAAGATTTATATTAAAGTGCTTAATGTGATGGGACTTTTGATGGGATTTACCTATATGAGTGAAGTGGTGCCGCTTCTAAGAGTTGGGGACTCGACTCTAATAGCACTCATGAAAAGGATACAAGACACAGGACATAGGACACATGGCTAGTTTTTGTGTCGATGGATGCTAAATTCTTTCTTTGGAAAGCTTAGAGTCTTGTGTGTGACATGTACCCAATTAGTTACTTAGAATTACTGGTTCAAAGTATAAGTCTACCATGCAATTCTAACTAATTTGCCGACGCATATTCACTTAGTGAAAGGTTCAAATCGTAAAATACCGTCATGTATGCATAAGATTTCCAAAACAATTGGTAGGTTGTTCTATTTTGAAATTAGTGGAGGAATGTTGAGGAATTTTCAAAATAGTTTTAGGATTTGGATTCGAATCACAAAAAGTTGTTTCAAAGCAGTTGCACATAATGTATTTGAGAAAGTATGATTTTTGTTCGAATCATATAAATATGATTTGAACTGTTTATGTAAAATCAAAATTCGGAAAGTTACAATTTTGGTTCGGATCACATTTACCATTTACGTCAGAAATAAGAGATAGAATTCTAATAAGTTTTCGAAAAAATAGTGAATAACTTTGAAAGGCAAAGAAATACATGAGTTGAAATTCAATTCAAATCAAATCAAATGACTTTTGAAAGAGTTTTCAATGCATAAGTTTAACAAAAATTCAAATATTTTCAGTTAATAAATTGAAAAGGAACTTCTGTTTCCAACAGACATCTTGTCCTTATAAATGTGGAGTTATCTCCTCTTCTTCTTCTTCTTCCACTCTTGAACGCAGAAACAAATTCCTATTATCATTTAAATAAAACAGCCTCTTTTTGTATTGCGATTGCTGTAAAAATCCCTGTACAAAAACTATTGCTTTATCGCTTTTCAAATGACGGTTCAGTGGTTGATCTTGCTAGTGCAAAGGTAGGACTAACAAGGTGCTTCATTATATCTTATGGGCATTTTGGGTTACCCCTTTTGCATACCAAGTCTGGTGGAAATGAAATTAATCTAAAAGAAAGTGGCATTTGCAGCACGTGAACTTCATCTGTCGCAACGTTCATCCCTTGTGCCTTTTAATTATTGTAGTCCCCACTCTCTATACCCTTTAAAGCCTTAAACACCTCTACCATTGTTGGTCTCAGGTCCTTCCTACCTTGCAGGCACGGAAATGCCACCTCTGCCACTGCAGTTATCATTGTCTTCACCTTATGATCTGATTCATACCCAAGAGTTGGATCTACAAGTTCGTGTAGTGCTCGGTTTTGAATCTTGTTCATGGCCATGTTAGACAAGTTTATCTCATGGCGGTGCCTGGTGATGTCAACAGCTGGCTTGGATGATATTAGCTCAATCAAGACGACCCCAAAGCTAAATACATCACTCTTGTCTGTCAGCTGGTAGCATTCATGATATTCTGGATCAACATAACCAGGAGTCCCTTGGGGAGCAGTAGAAACATGTGTAACAAGTTTTGGAAAGAAACGAGAAATTCCAAAATCTGCAACTTTAACAGAAAAATTCTCATCAAGGAGAATGTTGTTGGTTTTCACATCACGGTGGATGATATCAGAAGCATGGAGGTAAGTCAATGCGCTTGCAGTCTCTATGGCAATCTTCAAACGAATGAGCCAAGGAAGTGAAGCACGTTTGGCACGTTCACCATGAAGATGGTCAGCAACGGTTCCATTGGAAATGTACTCATATACAAGTAAGAGTTCACGGCAGTGGGGAGAGGTGTAACCATAAAGTAATACAAGATGCCGGTGGCGCAACTGAGCTAGGATCCCAACTTCATTCCAGAATTGTTCCACTCTTTTGTAATTGTTTTCATATAAGCGTTTGACTGCAACAGGTCGCCCATCTTGGAGTGTGCCTGGTTTAGGAAAAACAAGAGTAACAGGATTTTCATCAAACTGTCAACCTCTCTAACTAGTTATACTAGAAATGAAAAAGATCTACTGTTGAGTTCTCCCCTCACCATAATACACGGTGCCAAAGCCTCCATCACCTAGTTCCATGGCAGAATCAAATGTATTGGTAGCCTCTTCAAGTTCATTATAGGTGAAGTTATGCACTCCAGGGAAGTTACCTCCTTTCCCAGGATCAGTCAATGAAGCCGGAGCAGAGGATATCTCATTTGCAACTGAGGAAGATCGAGCATATTTGAGCACTCTTCTGCGCCGAAGGAAGAATTTGAACACAATGCATGTTGTTACTACGCCCCCAAAAAAACCACAGCCAAGACCTGTGTGAATGAAGTGGAAATCGTAAGATGGTGACACTAAACATTTGTTTGATTTCAACAAGAAATCTGCACGCAAACGCCACATGAGTAAGAAACAGACAAACAAAAAAGATTATTGAGTCAAATTACCTATAGCAAGTTTCCATTTCCATCTATTATCATCACCTGTGGATGTAACAATAGAAAGTAATGAAGAGTTAGAAAATATAGAAATTAAAGGCAAATAATGGTTTAGGCAAATTATGCAATCCAAAAGCTGCCATACTTCGAGCTACATTCTTCCTTCAAAACTATATAATCTAAATTTTGTTGTAATTAAAACTTTCAAGCATAGAGATATTTTGTTTGTAAAACTTGGCAGAACCATAACTGCATGATAGATAATTTTCCCATTACAAAAGATGGTGACACTAAACATTTGCTTGATTTCAACAAGAAATCTGCACGCAAATGCCACGAGCAAGAAACAGACAAACAAAAAAGATCATTGAGTCAAATTACCTACAGCAGGTTTCTGTTTCCCTTTATTATCATCACCTGTGGGTGTAACAATACAAAGTAAAGAAGAGTTAGAAAATATAGACATTAAAGGCAAATAATGGTTTAGGCAAATTGTGCAATCCAAAAGTTGCCATACTTCAAGCTACATTCTTCCTTCAAAACTATATAATCTAAATTTTGTTTTAATTAATACTTTCAAGCATGGAGATATTAATTTTGTTTGTAAAACTTGGCAGAAGCATAACTGCATGATAGATAATATTCCTATTACATTTCCATAACGAAAACCATGTGTTCTAAGATTGTGGAGCCAATAGATTCCAGGATTGTGACAAAGATTCAGCAGCAATACAGAGATCATTTCAGATTTCAGAATAACACAAAGGTATAGTGAAGGTATAAGAAAAAAGTACAAAACTGGATCTAAAAAACTTAATTTAGAATCATTTGGGATGAACGCATTGCCAAATGGTTAACTTGGTCCTCAAAAGCAAAAGTTGATAATACTTAGAAGCCATGCAATTGTGGAATGAACTGCAGTTCCTATTTGAGGCATACAGGTTGCTAATCAAAAACTTCCAAGCAGAAAATATTTCATTTTCTCAGACTACCTAATGGCTCTGAGTTCAATATGTGGTTGTCAAAGCTGCCACACACAACAAACTTATAATCACAGTACAAGATCAACCAATATAATTGGAGAAAGCTAAAATTGAGTTAGTTAGGCAGAAAAAACTGCAGAAAACAAGCTGCATGAACAACTGGAGAAAAAGTGACTTTCCTATATAGTTATCATCATTGCGAGTTTTGGAATGAGGCTTATCTGGGCAAAAACAAATAAACTGATGGTCATCAAATCCACAGCGCCCACCACTGCTCTCACAATCGCGGCAACTATGTGCAGTCAAATTCAAAAGGAAACCCATCTTCAAGATTTCAGAATAATTTGTTTTCACCAGACGAGTCAAATTACAGTTACTACCCATTCCCAATATTGGGGCATTAACAAAAGACTGGCATGACTTCAATGAGTAGTTCATGTACTCCAAAACATCTTTATCGAAAACAGCAAAAGAATGGAGCGAAGCATTGCTAGCACAACTTACTGGATAATATGTAGGGTAAACTGGCTGCTTAGTGCAGTTATATAAGAACGAAAAATTGAAATTATCAGAACTAAGACTGAATGGAGTTCGATGAAGAATAAAATTTTGCAGTGGAATTGGACATATTTCTTCATAGACCACAGCACTGACCACAAGAAATAAATTGCTGTTGTAGAATATGTCTTTGATGATATAATGGTCTTCAACAATAGTAAGAACTGGGCTTTTGTCTTTGCAGGTGATCTCAAAGCTTGGCCAGCCACAAAGTGAATCTTGTTCCTGAGAAATCCAAAAAGGATAGCTAACATTGGGGCCATTTCCGCATGATCGAGGCACACAAGCCTCAAATTTTGAGTCAAGGGATAGAGTTTCATTAGCTAAGGTGCTCAAAAAGATGATAACTATACATCTCTGAAGAAATTTTCTCAAAATGGAGAAGCTTTATGGATCCATCCTTAGGGAAAGCAATGGAGGAAGCACAATACAGGGACAAGAAATGGAGACAAAATGGAAGTAAGCATTGGGACAAAAATTCCATGGTGGTTCGCATGACTTGGTTTTGTTTCCTTAAAATTCATCATTTTTGAAAACAAGAGAAAGACAAAACAGAAGTTTTGAAGAAAGAGCAAGGATTTGTTTACTATATCAATTTTCTTTGTCTGGCTGGACTCCTATCATATTCAAAACAATGATGCATTTCTGAACCCATGCATCCATTAGCCAACAAACTGCTATACAAGGTGTGGAGAGGTGCCTAACAACTAGACTTTGAATTGCATTTAGTGAGAACATTATAGAAACTGTAGATACTCCCAGAGAAATCATGACAAGAAAAAATGAAAAAAATAATTGTTTAAACTTCAAAAATAATGTGTTGATCCTCATATCAGACTCTAAAATTACATATTTTGTCCTCAGAGATAGCCCTGGTACTGTTTTAGGTGGTGGGGTGAAGGTCTTACCTTTTAAAGGACCCAGTTTTCATGCTGAAATCCTTTCCATTTATTTTGCTGCTCAATTAGGAAAGGAGTTAGGATGCAAAGATGTGATAATAGAAACAGATGGTTCACAGGCAGCAGCTGTTGTGAACTCAAGAGATGAATTCTTCCTCTCAGCAGGAGCAGTAGTAGTAGATGACCTTCGAGCTAGAGCTGAATGTTTCAACTCATGCATATTTAAATTAGCTAGTAGAAACTGTAATCAGTTAGCACATAGGATTGCTCAGTTAACTTTGCCTAGTGTCCCATGGAAGGGTGTTTGGTTTAGATCACTTCCAGGCTCCAATTCTAATAATGAGGCTATTTATTCATTTTCCATAAAAAAAATAATAATAATAAACCAAAGATTTGGTCTAATGAGCACAATGGGCAGCAGACAAGTTTAACAAGCCTGAGCAGAAACCAGAATGAGAAAGAGCAGCCAAATAGGAAGAAGTCAATGGCTTTGTTAGCACATGCTAAGCTAAATTGACAGGAAATTTCTATGAGAGGAAAACTCAATCACTGGAATAAACTTGGATGTTCAATTTCATGTTAAGGAAAACCTTGGACTCCAAAGTTAACCCTCTTTCAAAAATGGTGACATCAGTATGATATAATAAAAGACGTAGTCTGCCTTTTGAAATTGGTCAATTGGGAAATCCCTAGCACGAGAATAACCATACTTAACAAATAATAAATAAGGGCATAACTGAAAGTAGAACATAATGTGGGGCACTTTTTTGTAGGATAATACAATTGGGAATACTTGACAGAGACTTGGTTGGTTGAACAGGAAGGAGAACCAGCATCAGGAAGGAGACATTTTTGTAAGATAATATTTAGAAAAAAAAAAAAAAAAGGGGGAGAGATGTCTTTTGCCACTTCTTTTAATTGCATTCTAAAACAAAACTTTGGAGAAAATGATAGTCCAATAAATAACAGACATACAAAGACATGCTGAATGAAAGAACAAGATGGGTTTTAGGTCGAATGTGTAAAGAAAGAATTGAAATTTGCAGAGAATCGAATATTTGGAATGGAAGCATTCACATTTCAGTATATAGAGACAGAAGATGGGCATTGACGCCAAGGTTGGGAGGACAAACGCAGTCAGTTAGCATGTTTTAGGTTCTTATGAATGGAACCATTGACATGTTCAAAGCAGGCAAGAGGACTACATCCAAAGGAGACCCCCCGATGCACTGAATGTCAAAAATAGGGTCTTTAAACAACTATAGACTTATCAAGATCCACTGGCCACTCAGAAGGAAAATTGAAGAACATGACAGGATTACTGAAATAAACAAGTTGAAAACAGTCCACCAACTGCCAAAGGAAACATGCCCTTCTAATTCTAAGTCCTAACCTTGGATTTGTACTTTTGAGATAAGTCATTAGTGTTCCGCTTCACCCATTTTATCTTTTACTGTAATGCTAATTGCAAAAACTAACTGGGTCTTAGTGAAACAGCACTAGAAACTAACCCAAGAAGACCAAACTATCTCAATTTTCAATGGATTAATAACTATTAATTAACAAACCTTTTGGATAAACTAAGAACAGTAATTGAAATGAAGATTATTGTGCAGTACATACCCTTACCACCGCATTCTACATCATAAGGTCCGTCGGGACAGTTGCAAGCAAATACAAGTGGAAAAGTCCGATTGGATCCACATCTTCCACCGGAGCGCAAACATTTTTCACAGAAGGCATCATAGGCGAGATACTGTACATTAAACGGTCTCATCAAGGTTCCACTTAAATTCAGACGTCCCGACTTAAATTCATCAAGAGCCTCCTTTGGAACCGGAACTTCCACTCTTTCTCGACAATTCACAAGCTTCGTTTTATTATCCCACAAGAAAAAAGAAACGTTGCCCGGTTTACCATCAGCGGCGCAGGAAGTATTTATCCTTTTCCTTGAGAGGCTGGACTTAGGGCAGTTGCTAAACAGAGTCATATCCTCAGTCGCTGTAAGAAGAATAAACTGAGTGTTATTCAGGGGAGTGGGAATGTGAGTGGGAATGGGAATGGGAGTGGGACAAGGATGTCTTCGCGAAAGGGTCATCATTCGGGGTTTGCCAGATTGATCGATTCCGATCACAAAAAAGTCTTGGCTACTGAATTCCATAACAGGGTGCTGAATATTTTCCTTGCATCTAAGTCTGTAACCACTATGCCCGCAATATTGAGGTCGATTGTCGCCCCAGAAAGGATAATAGAGGCTTTTGAAGCTGCCACAGTTGAAGGGTTGACTGCACTCCGTGAAACCTGCATCATCTTCGGCATCTAAGGACGAAATGAAGGCTAAGACGATGAAGATGGAGTACAGAGAGAGTGAAGCAACACCCATTTTTGGGAATTAGGAATAGTGACAGTGAATGGCTTTAATACAATTGAATAAGCTTATGATTTTCTCCGGAATTGAGGAGGGAATTGTGTTTTGATAAGCGGAAGGTCTTGAGTGTTTGAATTTTCGAAAGGCGAAGATTGGCTGTTGACCTTGACCGTTCTGTAAAGCAAGAAAGTGGCGGGTAATACAAGTAATAATAATACTTACTCCGACTTTTTTTGTCCTATTTTTAGGACCCTTCAAAATTTATTGAGGGTAAAAGAATGTTGGGCAGTACGGATTTTCTTAGATTGTACAATATAAGGAGTGTTTAG